GTGTGTGTGTGTGTGTGAGTGTGTGTGTGAGAGAGAGAGTGTGTGTGTGTGTGTGAGTGTGTGTTGATGGCTAAGTGTTGCTCTGGTGTTGGTTACACCTTTGGGTTGATGATAATGAAGGAATCACAGGCTGGAATTTTTCTTGCACAACAGTTTCTGTGTTCAGTTATTCAACAAACAATCCATAAATCATTAACAAATTCATACATTCTATCTGCACATTAAACCTTACAATCACATATATGAAATTCCACATTACACTCACATTAAACACAATAATACATTACATTAACATGATTTTCAAGATTGCTTTAGCCTAATTCTATTGAATCATAGAACCTTGTATGTCCATTTGATAGTAACAATACGTAATAACACATAAATATGATATATGTAAATCACATTGCCAGTAACAGCAACTCATGTCAATATGAAATTGTCAAAACTGATAATGACAAAACGGACTCTATTTCATCTCTTAATAAATGTTGCTGTATTATTGTAAGTAATACAGAACTGCAGGTTTTCCAAAAGAAGTTTGTTTCTTAATGTTTGTCACAATCCAATTTTAATGGATAAAATCAGATGTAATCCTATTTAAATCAATGTGATAAACGAGATAGGTCAAAAGTAGTCTGATTATATTACTTGAAATGTGATTGTACTGTGACTCAATGCGCATGCGTGCCCTCTATCGGCAGCACGGCGGAATTACAGCAACGCGCGTCCGCACTGAGCCTCCGCGGCTTCCGTCCCAGATGAGCGTCAGTCAGTCAGTCAGTCGGTGACGGACCTCAGAACCGGAGCAGCACCGGATCATGCGCGCACTCACCGCGTCCTGACAGCTGCACGCGGCTCGGTTCCGGTGTCGGCGAGCGAGATGGACGGAGGAGAGAGGAAGGTAACGCGATTTCACGACACACCGGCGCGATTTACACCCGCTGGCGTCACGTTAGCTTTAGCATTAGCAGCGCTCGCGGGATTAAAGTCCGAAACAACTAATAACGGTGATTTCTGTGATCAAACACTCGCGTGTGTGTGAGATATGAGCGATGTGTGTGTGTGTTAGTCGTGTATAACAGCTGACGCGATACTGAGAGCGACGCGACGCGTCAAAACAACGACGCCCCTGTTATTATCAATTAAACAAAGCTAGATCGGTTTGACACGGATTAGTCGATTATTAATGAACGAGTGGGAATGAATCTAATCCACTTATTAAAGTACCATGGTAATACTGTGGTAAAGTACCTCAGAGAACCGAGTAAATATTACCGCACATAAACAAGGGACTCATTCAGGAACGTTACCATGGTGAATGTCAAAGTAACTTACCGTAGTACTGGCGTGTAATAGCACAGATTATTGAACAGACACAGCTGCTTTGTGGAGGTTATGGATCTGGGTATGATTGACAGCCATAGAAACAGTAACAGACAGACAGTGTTTGCATCGGCTAAATATTCATAAGAACTGATTTGGTGTGGTTTGTTTATTTTCTGTTGATTAGATTTACATTTATGCATTTAGCAGACGCTTCTATCCAAAGCGACTTACAGTGCATTCAGGCTATACATTTGTTTTTACTGGTATGATTAGAGCTGCATCTGTCAGCTGTGATTGATGTTTGAGTGATATTACAGTGACTGTGATGTTATATGACTGTGATATTACAGTGAGTTCAAGTTCTCACTGGTCATTTGTTGTGGTGTGAGTGTGTGTGAGAGAGAGAGTGAGTGAGTCTCTGTGTGTGTGTGTGAGAGAGAGAGTGAGTATGTGTGTGTGTGTCAGTG